ATAATCCTGTGCACCAACAGTACAACTGGGCCCAATGGTAGCCAGCTGAAGAGTTAGGTGAAGGTCTCGGTGCAGCATCTGTAAAAGGACAGTCTCTACTCCTAATACTTATGTTAAGGAGGTACCTCAGGTGTCAATGCACCATATCCTAGCCAGTTTCCTAGAGTGCACTTTAAACTAGTTGTAGTGCTATTATTTACATTGCAGTTAATGCTTATATGAACAGTTTTTTGCAGACTTTGATGATTCACGAGTTAACTCCAGTTTAGTGGTATGAACTGAACATTACCTTGACGTAGTGATTATGGGTTAGCATAAATGGTTTGAGCATAAATAAGCATGCAGAATGTAGATTCATAAATAAGCATGCAGAAGGTAGATTCAGACAGTCCACTAGCCAGCATAGTCCACTGAAACTACAAGTTCATCTGCCACTGTGGCAGACCAGACTCAATTTTTTCACAGATCCCTGTGAATAAGTGACATGGTTGTGTGGGTGGAGCCACACAAATTTTAAAATGTGACAGCAGGTGTGGGAAAAAATGAAACCCAGGGATCAGAGGTGAGGCGTTAATTTTTTAATTGTATACTATTTAACTTATCCTTTAATTTAAAAAAAGGAGAGGACTTATTGAAGTACTGTGAGTAAGCACAGCTTGTCACATTATATAAACACTCATGTACAAGTTAGCCCACTGTCCCTGATCACCAACCCTTAGTGTAATGCAAATAAACAGTGCAGCCAGCCCCGTCACACTTGTACCAGTGCTGCAAGTAACACACTGCCAGCCCCAGCATCCTGATCACCACCATACCAGTGTCAAAGCCAGTTTTCCCAAATTGTTTCCACTATTGTGGTGCTCCAGGGCCTCCAAAAATGTGATGAATGGGAAATTAGAGTAATTTGTGCCCCTTGAGGCTTGGTTCACACTATTGCAGGCTGTGCGGCTCACGTATGCTGGGGTTGCTGTGCTTGCACATCTGCGCAAAAAAAAAAAAAAAAAAAAAAAAAGTGCATTCATTTTTGAGAGTGCAACTGCAGAGTCTGACCATGTGGTTCCCACACCCGCAATTGTGCATCGGGCTGAGATGCCATTCAGAATGAATAGCAGTGCAATTTGGTTGTGGGAACAGGTGCAATTCCCATACCTGCAAGTTTTACCTAGCTTAAGTGTGCTCCTTGGATTGTGGAAATTCTGAAGAACCCTCTGCACAGTGGTATATACCCTTTCAAGCAGACTATGCAACAAATAGGGATTTAGGTCACACATTGCAACACATGCTTAAGCTGGCCAACAGCGTCAAAGTAATCCCTCTATGACCAGTCCTACTCTGCCTACGCAAATGCTACTGAGGACACAATGCTAACATAAGGGAAAAGAGTGGGGGGAGAGTTCCAGGTTTAAGTCTGGCTACTGACCCAACAATACAACAAAAGATACCTGTGCTCAAATCCCAACAGCTAGTGCATGCATTTATCCATCAGGTGCTAAAGGGGAGTAACCACATAAACACTAGAAATTCTGAAGGACCCTCTGCACACTGGTACTTTGATGCAGTTGGCCAGTTTAAGCATGTATTGCAATGTGTTAACTAAATATCCCTATTTGTCTCATCAGGTTGGGACTATTGCCTCCACCTGGTTCTGGAGGCCCATGGAAGCTTCCAGAAGCCAGTGGGTTGAGATCCAAATATGCATATTTGTGGGAGGCTGGGAGTCTGACCAATCCTAGGCTAAGAGGTCCTGGTAGTGTGGTAAGGCCAGACCATAAATATGAGAGGGGTGGGGGGGGACTTTACCTCCAGGTTGGGCTTGGCCAGGTCTCATCAACAGATCAGTTTGAGGAGGATTCTCATCTTAGTAGCTGGGAGCAAGAAGGGCAGTACATCAGCACACCCAGGGATTTCCAAGGCGAGAGACTGCCATATGTATCAAACTTTCAAAGGACGGCGCTGTGCTTAAAGTGGTTGATTGCAGCACAAGGGAGATCAATCATGGCTGGAATGCTTGCAGACAGGAGCATGAGGGTGCCTTGGTCAGACCACTGCCTGATGTCACCAATTTCTCAGTACTCCCTATCCCCCCCAGTAGTTCCAGAGTGGCTATCACCTTTTGGTATCAGCTTTCACCTGCAGGGCTGAGGGAATGTTGATCAGAAGATAGGTAAGGAATCAGAAATGCCCTTTAGGTGTAGGAAAGCCACTGCTTTGGCTAGGACCTTCACAAAGATCCTAGGACATGCTGCCAGACCAAAAGGCAAGCACCCTGAATTGCCAGTGATGAGCCCCTTGCCCGGTTACCACAATAAATCTCAGGAATGCCTGATGTTCAGGGTGAATTAAAACATGCAATTAGGCATCCTTGAGATCCAGTGTTGTCATTAAGGCCTCTTTTGGGAGATTTGTGGACTTTGTAAATACTCTCCATGGAAAATGAGAGTATTTCCCTGTGGGTTTGCAGGCTACAGATACACGCATGTAAAACCACAGTACTGTTGGTCTTTTGGCACATGTTCTACCACATGTTGCTCCACCAGTTCTTGAATCCCTTCCAGCTCTTTAAAATGTTCCTTGGGGGATGGGTTAGCATACTTATTTGTGGGGGCCGCAGTGAGAATTCTAAGCAGTAACCTTGTATTAGCTTGCAAATGTAGGGACTGATATTCCTTCCACGCATTGAGACAGTCAGCTGCAACTTGAACCCCAATGTCAATTTTGGATATTTACTGCTAACCCTGGGAGAGGAAAACAGATTACCTCTGCCTACCCCTTGTTGGAATCCCTTTTGGGAAAAAAAAAAAAAAAAAAAAAAAATCCCTCTTAAGCTTTACCTCCCAAGGATTCCCTCTCCCCCTTCTCAGAGGACCTGGACAACAGTCTCCAGCCCTAGACTGAACAGAAAGGAGCCATCAAAGGGCAGGCCACAGTTTGGATTCTGGATGTGAGGTCACCCTCCCGTGCTTTGACCCAAATGGCCTGCCTGGCCAAGATAAGGTGGCCACTTTGGTTGAAGCCCACACTTGACTCAACCTCCATATCCATGTGCAGGCAATGACCTTCCCCATTATCACAAGGGAGTCATCCAACTTGGCTCCCTGCAAGAGGTGTTTTGCAAATCTACCCAAAAATCTGTATTCTTGGCGATGTCACCCCTAATTCCAGATTCATGGTTGATGTGTTAGCATCCCATGCCTTCTGCAGGAGGATCTCTGTTCTACAGTCCATTAAATCATTGATGCTGCTGGAAAACAAGGTCAGACCTCTGATAGCTGAGAGTGCAGCATCCAGTTTGGGGATCTTAAAGAATTTCTCATCTTCATCCTTAAAGGAAATATCCTTTTCCAAGTTTTAGGTCTGACCTTTCAGGCTTTCCACTCCTGCATTAGGTTCTTTAGGGATTGGTGGAAGAGTACACTGGACTGGGTCTTTACTAGCCCCCAGTACATCTTGTCCTGAGGACTCCTTGGGAGGTTCATGGATCTCTTCTGCGGCATCAAATGCCCGGAGAAAGACAATCTTTCAGAACAAAAGTTTCTGCCTGCTCCAACCTCCTCACTGGCCTAATCTAGGTCCATCTCTCCCTGAGAGTTGTGGTTTGGCCTTGCCAGCTCTTCCTTCTCCCCACTGACACTTCTCCATAGCTTGGGCTGAGGGGGGGGGGGGGGGGGGGGGGGGGGGGGAGTCCCTGTGAGGCAAGGGGAAAGTGTGGTCACCCTACCCCCCAGGAGGTAAGGCTTTTTTCTGAGGATGTCCCTTCTAGGTCTGGCTGGGTCATTGATGCATGGAAGGATTTAATTGTGGCCACAATTTCAGCCTTCATGGAAGCCAGGAACTCCATCAGCCCAGAGGCTGCATTTCCTGAAGCGCTCATGCTCACAGAAGGAAAGGCGGTTTGTCAGTGGCCTTCAGGGCTCCACTTAGGGACTCTAAGGGGAGAAGAGGAAATAGAATTTTTCATCCTGAGTACCACCAATGTAATCTTGTCTGCAGCCACCGGCAATGTCTTTCCCTCCTCCTTTCCAATCTGAGACAGTTAGACTCAAACTCTATACTAATTTCTGCACAACAGACTGATGCCTACTCTCAGCCACAACACAGGCCACAACAACTTCTTCCCACTTCTGGGTCATGTGCCCCTGCTCAGCCTATTTCCAGCCATGTGACTAAAAAAATCCTGTGATCTGAGACTTGGAGCTCATGCCACCCTCCCCCTTCTGGTTCAATGATCCCAGTGAGTGGAGCATTTATCTTGCTGGCAGTTCTCCCAGTTTTTGGAAGATAGGTTCAAATTGTCAGTTTATGTTTTGTTGTCTGACATAAAGGGAGATTTTTCTTCACTGCTACACAGATGCAAGTAGTGAGATCACCCAAGAGTTATCACTGTAACAGCTGTCAGAGGATTTACCTTCACTTTTTCTGGCAACTTCAACATTTTGGAATTCTCATTCCTTTCTGTCCAAGCAACAATGGTCACTGGTGCAAACAGTAAATCTCCCCAGTGGAGATGCAAAAAAAAAAAAAAAAAAACCCTATACATACATTTGAGACTATGTAGATTACCATCAAAGATTTTCACCTGTTTCCAGACTTATGTAGACTCTGAATAAATCAGACATACTGATGCCAGACAAGATCAGTGGCTGCCTACAGGTTTTCCATTTCTGGTCCAGTGAGTGTCTTTGAGCCTGGTCTGATTTACTAAGTCACTTAAAGGAATAACAGCGCTTGCTGGTAAAATATGCATTCACGGCTTTATTTTATTATTTTTCATAGGAGCTGGAAAGCATTACACCTGCAATCAGCAGAGTTATTCAATTTTTATTCCTATACTTTTTTTGTACTAAATGTTTACTATTATTCCCCCAGAGTACTAAGACAGACTTTAGTCATCCCAGACTAGTGCCAGGAAAGAAATCCTTATTCAATGTGGTGGATTTTAGGAATTGCAAATTAAATATATTGTGCAATGTAGAATGATAATGCACAGGAATAAAGTTACCTCATTTGCAGGCGAACTCACAGGCTCTCTTAGTAGGAAACCGATTATCATTTCCTTTACAACCACCATAGATAAAAACAGAGCATTCCTTCTTAGTTCCGTTATAGTAATAGCTGCGGAGGTACCCCTTACATGGACCCTTATTTGGTGGCAAGTCACAGATTGCACCTGGAAAAATACAAAAACACCTGAATATCATTAGCAACTCAGATAATGGTTGATAAGAAGCAAAAACTGCTGGAATCTTACAGGAAAGGAGTAATCAGGGTTGGTTACCATTAGACATAGAAGATCAGAGCTCATACCTCCAACTGTCACATCTGAACCGGTGTGCAGATGGTGCATAGGATAGGAAACACTATTTTAAAAGCTCAGGAAGCTTGAGGTGATTGAGTACTGCCCATGATACTTTATTTGCACTAACATAAATTTTTTATTTGTATGTTAGTGCAAATAAAAAAAAAAAAAAAAAAAAAAAAAAAGCACAGAGTGTCCCAGGTGAATAAAACCTATTGTATAGCAGAGCTTGAAGCGATCTCTATAACAAAACAGACAAAGGGTGCCACTCTTGGTTCAGCATAACATAGGTTTATTATCCATTTGATGACCTCCCCATAGCAGATATACTGCTGCAGGGTAGCTGTGCAGAATCACGCATTTAAAATGTCCAGGTCATGGGTACATACAATTGTTCACAGTAGAAGCCGATCAGCGGGTGCCAGTAAATGGATGAGTGCAGACACCAGCTGATCATCTAGGAGACTAATAGAACACAACTCTGCCTATGTAAACAAGTCAAAGCTATAACCTGTAGCAGCAATGTGCTGGATTCTCTTTCCCTGCAAGGCAGGGAAAGAGAACCCAGCACATTACCTAGTAAAAACCACCTCCCACAGTAAACATTACATACAGCTAGGCACACAGTTAACCCCCTTGATCACCTAATTGTTTAACCCTTTCCCAGCCAGTGGCATTAGTACAGTGTGTGCATGTTTTTAGCACTGATCACTGTATTAGTGTCACTGGTTCCCATAAGGTGCTAGTTGGTGTCAGATAGTGTCCTATTGTCCACAGCAATATCGCAGTCCCGCTACAAGTCACTGATCGCCACCATTACTAGTAAAAAATTTCCAACACATACACTACTTTGTAGACACAACTTTGGCACAAAACCAATCAATATATACGGTTATATGCAGCAGAATATATATTGCCTTCATTTATGAAGCAATTTTATTTTTTACTTTTTATTGGAAATGGGTTCTAGCAGAAAAGTAAAAAAAAAAAAAAAATCTTCAAAAGTTTTAGTCTTGGTTTATAGCGCAAAAGAAATACCCCAAGAGGTGATGAAATACCAAAAAAAAAAAAAAAAAGTTATATTTGTGGGGAAAAAAGTTACATAAAGTGTATGTACAGCATTGTATGACCATGCAATTGTCAGTTAAAATAACGCCGTGCCATATTGCAGAAAAATGGCCTGGTCAGAAGGAGTGTGTGTGGGGGGGGGGGGGGGGGGGGGGAGATAAGACTTCTGGATGTCAATTGGTTATATAACAAGTGGCAACTCCTACTATAAGGCCTCTTGCACATGGTACTCATGCTTGCACATCAGCATTTCTGGACGTATTTTCAGACATTTTTTTTGCACATATACACATACCTGTGCACTATTAATATTTATGCGCATATTTGCTATTTTGTTACTCAATATGCAGTGCTTGTTGATGCTCCTGTGTGTAAAGGTACATTATAGGCAACAGACTTCGTTTTTTTACTAAAACCACCACACATGCTGTACTGAGCTTTTTAACTACTTGCCAACCGCGCTATAGCTGAATGACAGCTACAGCTTGTCCAGTTCTAGGAGGGTGTCATGACATCCTCCCAGAATGCTCCATCTCGTGTGCCCCCGACAAACTCTGATCACGTAATGTGGTAAAAGACCAATCATAGCAGCCTTTTACAATGTGATCAGCTGTGTTGAATGACAGCAGATCACTGGATAAATGTAATTGCTGGTTATTGGCTGCACTTTCCTCATGCTGTCACAGCATGAGGAAAGTACTGCTAATAACCGGCAATTGTCAGAATGGATCAGCACTGACCCAGCAGTGCCACCCACCAGTGCTTAGTAACAGGGGCGGACTGACAACTCATGGGGCCCTTGGGCAATAGGGGATCATGAGGCCCGTGTCCTTGCCCAAACTCAAAAAAAGCCCATGGAAAAAAAAAAAAAAAAAAAAAAAAAAAAAAAAAAAAAAAAAAAAAAAAAGGTACCGGGGCATCTCATGGGGCCCCCTACTGACCCCGGGCAGTGCCTGAATTTCCAGATGGTCAGCCCGCCCCTGCTTAGTAGGGCCACCCAGCAGTGTAGCCTCATCAACGCACATCAGTGAAAGAAAAAAAAAAAAAATTACCTGTTTGCAAAATTTTATAATAGAAGCAAACTTCTTAATTTTCACAGTTTGCTTAAAGCGCAAAAAAAATAAAAAAACATCCAGTGGCGAGTAAATACTACCAAAATAAAGCTATTTGTGTGGAAAAAAAATTTCATATGGGTACAATGTAGCGCTGAAAAGTGGTGGGAATGCTCAAAAATACAAGTATATTGGGAAAAAAATTATAAATCAAATCACGAATATCACTGGAATGGAGATAGGACTGGACCCTGAAACCTGTCTTTCATAATTCAAAATTACCTGGAAATAAATATAGAGAACTGAATAAATAAATAGAGAGCTACTTAAATGCAGCAAAAAGTCTGATTCCTAAGTTCTGATGTAAAGCTGAGGCACATTGCTAGACTGGAAAAACTTTATTATATACAGGAAGATAGGATGGTGACATATCATACGAAATGGGAGAAAATGGGAGGAGTTCAAAAGTTAAGGTAAAGGAAGGTACTGAGTAAGTAAGCATAAAGAAAAGGGAAAGAGGACAAGAAGAAAGGAGGGAAAAAAGGAGAAGGGACAAGGAAAAAGAAAATATAGTAATTGGCCTCTTTTCCTTTTCCAGGCCTCGGTATCCAGAGGATATGAGATACAAGTAGATCAGATAGATGTCAGGGGTATACGGAAGTGGGGTGGGAGGTGGGAGGGTTAAAAGGAAGGGAGTCATGGGGAGAAAATGATATGAAATTAGTGTTTTATGAGATTTTGTAATATATTCTATAAAATATTTTACATTATGGAAATGTGTATTGTTTTACTTGAAAAATGAATAAATATTTAAATTATAAAGAAAAAAAAAAAGAAAGCTGTAAAGAGTGGCCTGGGCAGGAAGGGGGTAAAAGTGCTCGTTTGGCAAGTGATTAATTTGCAGTGTGCAAGAGGCCTACTAAGGGCACGTGCGCATCACATTGTGCTGATGAGCCACCGTGCGCAAGATCACAGAGATCCACCATTCCAACCCAGGGTAGGACTGCTGAGTTTAGCCCCTTACTGTCTGAGGTGCTGGCATCACTTCTAGATGGCAAGGCTTGGCATCCCACATCCCTGCAAACAGCAAAACCCAACCTTCTCTTGTTTTATGCTGTACCTAGAGTGGCACCTTTGGTCTATGCTTTGTGTCACTGACATTTGACCAATGCTGGGGTATCTTTCTTCCCATTGATGCCAGAGCATTTCCTAGTACCACTGGGGTGTGTCCCCCTCCCCCAAGCCACACCCAATATTCTTCTCAATGTAGCCACACCTACCTTTCAGCTCCCTCATCATTGCTAAGATATTACACCATATCTTTGCTGTGTCAGGCTGTCCCTGATTTTTTAAACTCTGAAGTCAGAAGGCTTTTTTCCAAAACCAAAGAAATTGCAGGATTTCCCATATCAATATGAAGCTTTTAAGGGGGGGGGGGGGGGGGGGGGGGGGGGGAAGTGTAAAAAAGGCTAAATGCCCAAGCACAATTTTGCAATGTTGACATGTATTAGTGAAACTGTACATATCACAACTACTTTGTACATCCAGGTGAATTATACCTTGGTTTTTTTTCATTTGGTGGTAAATTGTAATGGATCTCCTGCTTTTTTTTTTTTTTTTTTTTTTTTTTTTTTTTTTTTTTTTAAATCCTGCCCTTTTACCCTGATCAAAACACTAACCCTGGCACTGAACTAGATCAAACCTTGATCTAAGTATTTTTGTGTATAAAAAAAAAAAAAAAAAAAAAAAAATTTCCCCCTCTATGCCAGGAGTTAGAGATACAATGTATCTCTCCTCCATTCATAGAGAAAAAAAAAAAAACAATGGGGCCAGGATGTACAGTGACTGCTCACTGATAGCCAAGCAAAGGCTATCACAGCAATCATGTGACCCAGAATCGGGAGTCCTGGGTCTCAACTGTTAGATTGGAATCTGGTGCTCTCAGGGACACTGCAGTCTTTGTGCTGGGAGTGCGCCATGCTCCCAGCACAAAGACAGGTACAAAAATATGCAGACCCACAGAAAAGAGCCCAGTTCTGTGAGGCCGCATATTTGTGTTACGTCAGTGTCAAGGGGTTAAACATGACTGAGAAAACAGGTAAACACACAGATTTACTAGAACTGGAGAGCACAAAATATGGTGAATAAAAATTGTAAAGAGTGTAGCCAGCTTTAGAAGCTGAATGGCTATCATGAAGAGCTGCACCAGATTTTGCATTCTCCAGTTTCAGTAAATCAACCCCACAGTCTCCCTTCACTCCTATGATTATCTCACTTATGAGATCAACAATTTATATGACAAAATGATGTTAATATATGGAATCAGTAAAATAGAGTTTAAGATCAATGCTGGAAATCCAGTTCTAGGTGTAACCAAATTCACACAGACAGGTTTATGGAAACTACCTTGCACTAATAGTTCACCAACAAATAAAAGGTACAACTAGCATGAAAGAGAAAGGGTGGGTTAGCTAAGAGATATATATATATATATATATATATATATATATATTTAAAAAAACACTACATTTGAAACCACACTACAGCATAAAGCACATATATATACATAAGTTATGTCAGCAAGACTGACCTCCTGGAGATGCTGAGATGAATTGAGCCACCAAGAGACTGGTGGCAATCACAACAAGCACCAACTTGGTTTTCATGTTGTAGTTGTTCTTAACCACCCTAAACAACCAGTTGATGTTACTCTGTAGACTGTGCATAATCTCACCTTCCTGGAGGAAATTTATAGAGAGGAGCGACCACAC